GAATATAAATATCATTTTATATGACTTTATGATTAGTTAGTCGTAGCTATTATTTAATAAAATAAATAAAAATATAAATACTTTATTAATACAAAATATAGCAGAAAAGAGTGGGAAAACAAAATTAATTATCATAATTTTTTTGTGAATAATTATGTATGTATATAGATTTTGCATAATTAAAAAAACAAAATATGCGAATAAAAAAAGCAAAATATTTATAAAAACGTTTCTGCCCAATTTTTTATTGAATAATACACTAATTAAAAAATATGAAGAATATGTCTTTATAAAATTTATTGACGTGAGATCAGGATCAATTACAAAATTTTTCATAAACAAAATTTTCTTACCTTACGGATCAAATTTTACAGATAAATTAAAAAAAAAGGATCAAATTATTTATGTTACTTTATCTGAACTGATCGGGTCAGAATTTTATGTCGAACTAAAAAATATTTATGATTTTTTTTTTTGCTTAAATTATTTTTTTTAATTAATTTAAAATATGTTATATTAAACCACTACTAGAATAACATTGTCATTCAAATAGGGTAAATTTTCATATCTTTATAGTACATATCAATATGAAGAATTTGTATAAATCTTAGCATCATTTTTAACGATTTTCCAACTACAAAAGATGGTAACTTAATAATATTTAAACCGAGATTTCTTTTCAAACAATTGATTTATAAATATTCATTTACAATAATGTTTAAAACAACATTTATAAATATTTATTTACTCAGTTTTAATTAACTACAAAAAATGTGTATATTCTAAATGTTTGCAAAATACGTGTTAAAATTTTATGTCGAACTCACAAAGACTTATTATTTTTATTATTTTTAATAATCAATTTAAAACCAAAACTACTAGAAAACCGTTGTCTGTAAAATAGGTCAAACTTCTATACCTTTAGTACATATCAATATGACGAATTCGTGGAAATTTTGGAATTATTTCGAGCAATTTTTCAACTGAAAAAAAATTGAAGAAGTTAAAGAGGGTATTTATGCTCGTCGTGTCCTTTATATGGACATCAGTCCTACCCGAAATGGCTTCATTTTCAACAAATTATTATAGATTGGATGATATAGTATCGTTCAAAAACGGAATCTTCTTCGATTTTAAAAAATTATATGGTTAATTTCCTACAACTTTGGATATAAACTTAATAAACAACATTCATTTTTTTCGCACATGATATCATTATCCAAAACATATACTGAATTCATGAAAATATGAATGGTTAGTTTTCTAATTATATGAAAACAAACATAACATAATTCTATGGAAACAAACATAATCAAGAAGCGACATTTTCGAATTATGGTTTCTTATGCCATGACAATAAATAAGAGTCAGAGACAATCATTATCCTATGTTGGTTTGTGTAACAACAATTTTATGGAAAACATAAAACTTTTTGTACAACTTGATTTTATTTCAATCAAATAATACTGCGGATACAATCTCTATATGTCTCCTCTAACTCTTCTCTTTATGGATTTGACCTTGAGGTCTTGAAAGATGGATTTGACGATTGGATCTCCTTCATGCTTGAGATTGAATTCTCAAACATTAATTTGGGGGTCGAAGACTTATTCCCGTATTAAATGTTAGGTCTTGACTTGATTGAAGAAGACTTTTTGGAGGACTTGATTCTTTGATCTTCTTGAAAGAGAGATTTTGACTTGAATAACGTTGACTCGAGGTCTTGACAGCTTCTTCCCGGATCAAACGCTATGTTAGTTGAACTTCTCGACGAACGCGACTTGAATGTTGCTTCAACGTCATTGATATTCTTGAATGATTTGGGAGGAATGGATGTCTCCTCTTTGTTTATTGGAGGACCGCCACCTCTTTTTCTTCTTCTTGGTCTTCTTCTCCATTGAGCGTACTTCGAAATCTAGGAGTCTTGATTCTTGAACGTCGATCTCTTGAATGTCTTTTATCTTCGAGAACGTCTTCAAATTTTCAAGAGGGTTCTTGAGACTTTGATTTAAGAGGTGTCTTTGATTTATGGGGTGTTGTCGAAATTTTGAAGTGTGATTTTTGGCATTGAGGAGAGTCCTATTTATAGGTGTAAGAGAGAGAGTCTTAGAGAAGAAGACATCAATTTGATTTGTCCTTTATGATTTGATATTATCTATTTCCTTATCCTAAGATTTGACTTGGTGGACACAAAATAATAACTTTATTAATTAAATATCTTATTTATCTTGAATTTATGTTCCAAAATAAATAAAGACATTAATTACTAAAATATTAAAATTTCGATGTCTACAAATGCCCCCTTGAGACTTGTTCACGGACAAAATGTCTTGGAAGTGAATGA